TCGCCGATAGGCCACCGTTATCCCCCGCAAATCCACCATCATCCTCCGCAAATCCACCGTCATCCACCGCCGAACCGGGCGTTGGAGTGTCAGGCTGCGTCGCCGCAGTTACCTCCGCACCAGACTCGGAGGCAGCCTCGATCTCGTCGTTGCTCGAGGCTTCAGGCTCAGCGGGAGCTACGTGTGGCGTTGGCGGCCCCATTCTCCACGCCGGCTGCGCCTGCCTGGCCAGCCACGCAGCCTTGGCCGCGTCTTCTGCCGACTCGGCTGGCTGGGCGCAGAGCATCCTGGGGCCGCCCGCGGCAACTCTAGGCGGCCCGACTAGAGCCTCGGCGGCGAGAAGGGCGACTAACATCGAAGTGGAGAAGGTTTTTCGGAGTTTTTTCTTTTTTCTCTCGCGGTGTGCCATCCTACACCTGCAACGCCCAAGGCTCATAGCTGCTCTCAAGTTCGCCCAAGGCGGTGTCTTCCTCCAGACTTCCACCCTCCTGATGCCGTCCAGGATCCTCCTGCAACTCAATCGACTCCCCTTTTGGGGAGGCGTGTAGCTGTAGGCGGGCCTTGGTCCACTGACTCCAGTCCCGGTCAGCGCCCAGCGCCGCTTGCCAATCCTCATCGCGCATGCTGGCAGGTGCTGCACTGAGGCTGGAACCCGCAACCTCGAGCGGAATCCACTCATAGCTCAGCGATGAGTCGCAACCTCCCTCCTGAGGCTTGCCCGTAGCTGGTGTGATGCGTTGCCTCGCGCTTTCCGTGTCTGTGGCCGCATCATCCGCGTCGAGATAGCTGATTGGCACGTCGTGTCGACCGCGACCAGAGAGCTGAACCATGCGACTCTGGCGGCTCAATCTCTCATCACTGTTGCCGCTCCCGCCCTGTTTGCAGCCGCTGTCACGCACGCCCTGCATAAATTCGCCGCAGCTCTTTCGGCAGTCTCCGCTGTCCTCACCCTCGCCGCCGCCGCTCGTCTCCGACGTCGCCTTCTCAGCGCATTGCAGCGTCTCGGGTCCCAGATCACCGCCCCCTGGCGCCTCGTCGTGCCCGCTGTGGTGTCCCGCATGGGGAGAACGAGGGCTTGCTTGCGCCTGCGCAAGGGGAGCGAGAGCGGGGGTGCCGGGTGACCATCGAAAGTTGGACGGGAGGACACGAGACGAGGGGGCGTAACGGAAGACGGCAAAAGGGCGGAGATTACAGAAGGGTGTGTCGTCACGAACCTCGTTGGGAACCGCGCGAACATTCGCGGGGGCGCTCTGAGCCGCGCGCTCCGGGCCGTGCCGCCACGAAACACTCCCCCCCGGCTGCCCGCAGCTCGCGGGCCCCGCACCGCGCCGCCTCGTCGACGCTCCACAATGCGCCACTGACTCGACTCGACTGCGTTGTCGCCGCAGGATGTGCAAGAAGCTCCGCATCGATGACCCTTACTACACGCGTGACGGCCCGATCCACAACAAGACTCGCGGCGGGGGCTTCGAGTTCACGGAGCGCAAGCAGGTTGCGTTAAGTCTAACCACACCCTCGCGACTTGTGCTGCAAGGCGTTGATCCATCTTACGTGACACTCCCATTAGAACTAAGCGTGACACGCTCCCAAACTAAGCGTGACACGCTCCGAGATCGCAATCTCCCCAGGGTTCGGCTCCAGTGTGGGTAGGGAATCCCCTACCCCCCAGGGAGGGGAACCCACAGTGGACGCGCGTCTCGGGAGCATATGCTGCCTCCCTGCGGATGCTGCCGGCGAGCCTGGCGGTCCGCTGTACTACAAGGATGTGCTGACTCGATTCTACCTCGAATTCTTCTACCCCCGCGACCCCACGAACGAATGTGACAGGACCATCGGGTCCTTCGGCCACCAAAGCGGGATCACCCGAGAGCAGCTGAGCCTGCCTCTGGCCTCGCCTCCCTCTCCTTCAGGCATTCGTGGCATCCGATGGGTCGCCCAGAGTATCGACCTCTGGCTTGTCAGTCGCGGTCACTTGATGACCCCCATGAAGTACAGCGATCGCCACCTCGCTGGCCTCTTCGCAGGCCCCCCCGACCGCGTCGAACTCATCGGCGCGGGCTCTCTCGGCTACGGGACCGGCCCCAGCTTCGGCTGAGGGCTAACAAGCTGCCGAGCCCAAATCACTGTTGTTTGTTTGTTTGGGATTTTAAGGAGAGGTGTGTGGTGCGCTAGCCGTCGCCCACCCTAGGGAGTCTGCCTCTTCCTATCTCTCTTCGCAGTCTCTCTCCGATTCTCGCTGCAACCTTCATGCCACCTCGCGGTCGTCCCACTCTCGTCGTTCTCTCCCTTGTCATTTCCTCCTCTGCCGCGTCGTTCCCTTCTGCCTCGTCCTGTGACGCCGCCGCCTGCCGGTCCCTTGTTCTCGCGGCTTCTTTCGCCTTTCGGCGCAACTCCGTCCTCCTCGCGGCGTATCCTGGCCCCTCGAGTCACCTACGGGTATGTTCGTAAGAGCGAACTGAAAATAGTTAGAGGCTGCGCAGGCCGTCCCGTTTGCTGTTTGAAACGCCTGTTGCGCTGCGCGCGCGCTGCCGGGGCTCTGTCTCACTCACGTGCCGCAATATGTGTCACACACGGCGGCTTCTGCCACCTCTCGATTGGTTCCACTTTCTCCGCACACCTACCGGGGAAGGGGCGCGTGGGAGCGGGGGCGGGGGCGGGGGCGGGGGTGGGGGCGGGGGCGCGCAGCGCGGGGCGCGCGCGCGCAACAGAGGGTAGGGTGGGGAAGACGGCGAGGAGGGGGCGGCGGCGGCGGCGGCGGCTGGCGGCGGCGGCGGCGGCGCGCGCGCGGCGCGCG